AGAATTTCAGCTGCTGAGCTGCTAAAGTGCTTGGGGATGTTTTATCCCCCTGAAAAGACAGAAGGAAGCACTCAGTAGTACCTGAAGGACCAGTCACATCTCAGGGACGTGCAGTGAGCACCAACCCAGGTAAATCCGTGGGCTTCAGAGGGCACTGGCAGCCTTTGGTGAGGGCATGGCTTGGGTTGCTCCTGGTTCCATGCAGTTTTCTCTGTGGAAATACTGTTTGAATTCCCTGCTTGCCCTTTTCTGGTCAGAGACATCCCTTCCCAGCTAATGCATCCATAGGGGCATCAGGAATGGTGTTGGCATCTAAAGGGAGGTTAGGTTCAATCCTGGTGAGGCTTTGTTGCTGATGTTCAATGTGGCACAGCACAGTCATTGTTCAGATGAAAATTTCAGCTCCTTCAATCAGCTTTGGTTCTCTCCCCTTTTCTGGTTTGCCATCCCCAGCCCAAAAAATAATATTTTGCTGGACATGGGAGTTTTGCAGCCACCCATCTCTCCAGGATCAACCAGACCTGCTCATGTGGGCATTAAAACACACGTGAGATGCCCACAGGATCAGCCAGACCTGCTCATGTGGGCATTAAAACACACGTGAGATGCCCACAGGATCAGCCAGACCTGCTCATGTGGGCATTAAAACACACGTGAGATGCCCACAGAGAGGCCAAGCCTGGAGAGCCTGAAAGGCTGGGAACTGCTGCCCCAAAGAAAAGCAAAGCTTTTCTCTTATCACTCCCTTCCAAATCCAACCAGCCAATTACACATCAATTAAACTTTGTTTGAACAATAATAGAAGCTTTGGCTCCATGTCAGCAACTGCTCCACGGTTAAGGGGATTGGATAGTAATAGTATAAATAAATAAACAAGAGATGCTTATTCTAACAGTTCATTTTAAAACAATTTGTGAATATCATGTAGAGATAAAATGTGCCTAGCATAAACTTAGCTAAGCAGTGACTGCTTCATTATCAGAACAAATAATTCACTAGCACATCATCTTTGAAGCTTGGGAGGCCTGTGGAATTGTGCTGCTTGTTTATTTTCCTGGCTTTTACTGTTTTTGCTACATTTCGTCTGCAGGGAAGGGTTTAGCTGGGGCTGTGGCAGTGTGGTGCCAAGCTCTGGTGATGCCAACCCTGCTCCCACTGCCCAGTCCCCAGTGCCAGGCTCAGCCCCTCTGCCCTCCCCAGGGCATCACCCAGTGACTGTGGGATTTTAGTGCCATATGGGGTGTCCTGGTTGCTTTTTTTGAGGGTGTCTTTCTTCTGTGAACATAAAATCTCCTTTAAGTTTTGCCTTGTGAGGGGCTGCTGCCATGGCACAGCAGCACTTTGTCCCTGCCAGTGCAGGGGTGGGACAGGAACGTGCCTGGCAGAGCCACTAAACCAGCAGAGAGCTTTGAGGGGCACATGAGACCCTCAGGATAGGGCTGAGGAGCCTGGATGGCCCCTTCTGCTCTGGCTGGAGCTGGAGGGAGGGAGAAATGGGTTTGAATGTGCCTAAAATGGGAGTGCTGTCAATTTTGGTGTTTTGCAGAAGAGGCTGTTGGGGCTGTGCTGAGTCCCTTGTGCATCACACGGGTGCTCGTGGCTGGTCCCTGGGTGGGCAGGGCAGCTGTGGGGCTGCTGGTGGCTGCTGGGCCCTGCTCCCTGAGTGGCCCTGCTGCCTCCACCTAAGGTGTGCTACTGGGTTGGACACACACCTGGTGTGGCTTTCAAAAGAAGGAGTATAAATTGGGAGGAAATAGGTCCAGTGCTGGACATCCCCACTCCAGGGGTGGTGTTGTCATTGGCACATTCAGGGCATTTGCTGCAGCCCATGGACACTGTGTCCAAACAGGTTTTGGGTCTGAACAACAGGTGATGAGCGAGGAATTGCTGCAATTAATTTCCTGAGTGTTGGTGGCTCAAACTTCACCAGACCTGAGTGTTGCTGTGCTGCACTTGTGCCCACCACTGAACCTCACCGAGCTGCCCCATTTGCCCAGGCAGGGCTGCAGCTGCCCTTGGCACAGGAGGTGCCCTGAGGATCAGATATCACCTGCTTGCACACGCTCCCCAGGAAGCCCCAAATTCCCAGTTTTTGTCCCCAATTTCTGCACAGCAATGCTCTCCCCCAGTTTGGAGCCCTGTGGGAAGGAGGGTGGATAAAACGGATCTGCCTGCATCTTGCTTTAGACCTCCCACCAAAGCCAGCCTGAGCTTTCCCAGAGCTTGGCAAGACTTTGGCAAGTTTTATTGCAGCACTGGGTGATTCTTGTGCCTCTGCTGGTCCCCGAGCAATGGATGATGAAGCAACCTATTGTGCAGGAGCTGGCCGGGCCGAGCATCCTCGGCGGAGCCGCCCATCCGCCCCAGCTCCTGCCTGGCCCGGCTGCCAGAGGGGCTGCCTGTGCAAAGGGGCTGCTCACTGCAGCTCCTCGTGCCTCTGAGTAGCTCCATTGACCTGTAGTAAATTTGGGCAAGCAGGCAGGTTTTTGGCCCCTTCCCAGGCCTGACAGGAGCTCTATAGAGCCACTGTAGGCATGGCCTCGCTCCCAGGCAGGGCTGGTGCAGCTCCACCGTGGGTTTCTGCTCCCTTCTTTCAAGTGGGACATTTAAAAAGGGCCAGGACATGATATGAGGTGCTGTCTCTTGATTTTTTTTTTTTTTTCTTTTTAATTCAATCTCTATGACTGCATTTCCTTGGCCCCAGCTCTCGGGTTTGTCATGCCTTCCCATCAGAGATGCACAACCCATGTTTGTATCATACCGCGGAGATATTTACTAAACGAGCCTCTGCCAAGGGGTTGAGAAATATGTTTTCATTAAGAAAATTAAACTGACAAGTCCCTGGACAGCACATTAGTCGCATATTTTTTCTTTAAGGCCAAAATGCAGCAGCTAATAATAATGATGAAATGTCCATGCACAGCCAAATTACTAAAATCTACCCATGTTTTCCTGGAAAAGAATGTGGAGAGTTGGCAAACTTGGTTGTAGCTGGGTCTGTGGACTGCTGAGCACAATGCTACCACTGCGAGATAGTGAGTGGTTTGCAAGTTAAGCAACACCTTCAATCAGATGTGAGTCCCCATTTGTTATCCTTAAAGAATTTCAGCTGTATATATTATAGTAGTACTTTGGCTCTTTGTATTTATTTTAGAGGGCTATACTAAAGAACATTATAAACTCAGGCATGTCCATGCTATATGAACTCCATATGCTGAAGCTTAATTTTAAATGCCATTAAAAAAGCACTTAACATTTACAATATATCAGTTCAGCTACTTTAGCAGCTTGGATGTTCTACAGTAAATGAAATGATTGAGGGAAAAAGAAATTCAGAAGCTCAGTGTTATAAAATCCCCAGTGCAGGTATGACACTGTCAAATTGTGTTCATTTCATTTATGTTTTTTAATAATTTTATCCTCTTTTTTTTAATTTTTTTTGTTTCATTTTAAAATGCCATTTTAAGGCCTAATTTAAAAAAGAATCTTGGCATTCAGATTGGATTCCTTATACAATTTTTTTCAATGTGTGAATTGGGCTGTGTATTCACAAATTGAAATGTCCCACTGTATTTACCCAGGTGCTTACCTGTAGGAGGAGAAGGTTAAGAGGAGTGCAGAGTTTATGAATGAAAATCAAAGAGGGACATTGCTAAACCACCCCTTTTTAGTCCAGGCTAATTACATGGTAAACATCTGGAATTTATGCAGGGCGCTTAAAAGAGTCAATTGAAACGATTTTGAACAGGGCCCATTTTGTTGCCTTCTCCCCAAGCAGCAACAAAATGGTGCTGCAGACTTGGACCAGCTCAGGAAAAGAGGGATAAAGTGGGGGGACAAAGTGGCCTTGATGTCTGATGGAGAAATGACATCAGGATTTGGGCCCATCTTAATTCACGTAATTAGAACGAGTCCAGGATGTGGCAATTCTCATCCTCCATCGCCTGTGCCGAGGGAAGGAGAACTTTGTGTCCTGCCTGGAGGGCTGTGGTGAGCCAGTTTGCTCTATTGACTCGGCTGTTTTTACTGGATGAGGAGGAGGTGGCGAGGATGGAGCCAAGAAAATAGTTATTCTGAGGATGTGAAGTGCCTAATCCTGCAAATCCTGGCTGCTGACACGGCCTCCAGGGACTGGGAAGCCCATGGCAGTGTCAGGATCCATTAGGGCCCTCTCCTTTGGATTGCAAGGCTGGACTGGGGTGGGATCTGCTGTTTTCACAGCCACATAGCTTCATAAAAGGTATTATTTAATATCACAAAGAGTCTTTAGGGATGTAAATGTTCTCTGGTGATGCACTGGTTTATGGGATGCTCTAGTTTGCTGTTGGTTGCTGCAGCCAGTGGGACAGGCATGTTTTGGTGGGAAGCTCTGCCATGCTCCATACTCCAGCAAGGTTTAAGGGTGTGCTGTGAATTTGGGAAACCCAGGAAGGCCAGAGGAGCCTGTCTGCACCACCACAGGGTTTAACCCTTCATCTCCCCCAGGCTTTACTGATCCTCAGCTCTCAGTTTGTTGGAGGGAACACAGGCGTAGAGATGGGACCTGGTGGATGTTGGGATTGTGTGGATGACAAAGCCCGTGCTTGGTTTCCTCTGAAATGTAGTCAGGTCTCCTGACTTTTCAAACACTTCCACAGCAGCAAGAAATCTGCAATTTTGGTGCTGCCATAAGCCAGGTAGAGCCTCCTGTAGAAGTGAGGGCTCCTTGTCCAAGCCTCCCACAAACAGGGATGTGTTGACCCCCTCTGTACCTCTCTCTGCACCCTCCTTTTCCTGGCACTGACCCATAGCCCCCCTCCCTATACCCTTATCAAAATTTGTGCCCACTTTTGCACTGACACACTCTGGAAAGAGAGAATTTAATTCAGGTGTGAACAAGAACCAACAATGTCCTGGCATGAATCCCTCTGATGGTGGATCTGCTTTTTGGGCTCCTCCAAGTGTCCATCAGTTCCAGTGCTCCATCCCTCCTAACGTGGTAACCCTCTGCTTTCCCTAAGGAGGATGTTTCCCAGTTACAAGGTCAAGGTGACTGGGATGAACCCCAAGACCAAGTACATTTTGTTGATCGACATCGTCCCGGCTGACGACCACCGCTACAAATTCTGTGACAACAAATGGTAAGACAACACTTCTGTTTGCCTGCTTTTCCATAGGAAATTTGCAATTGGATCAGCCATTTGTTGTGCAAACTTAGAAACCAACAGAAACACCTTCCCATGGGAGGGATGCCAACATCCCAGAGCTCTCTTTGCTGGAGCGGTGATGGACACAAGAGCCAGGGCTGCAAGTTTAAACCAGGCAAATATAAAATGAAATATTATTAACAGGCTGGGTGGTTAACTGCTGGAAAAAAGTGCTGCTGGGGGTGGTGACTTGTCCATCCCAAAGTGTTCCAGGCTGGGGAGTTTTCTTGGAGAAGGTGCTTTAGGCCAAGCACGGGTTATCTGGCCATGTGCAGTGTAGGAGGGTAAAGCCACAGCCTGCCTTGTACCAGAGGCTGGACAGGATGATCTAATGGTCCATTTTGGCCCTCAAAATCAGGTTTCTATGTGACTCAAGAAAAGTTTTAAATTCCTTTCTTCCACAGTAATATTTTGCTTTTAGGAGAGCAGCTATAAAGCGAAATATGGGGTGGTTCACTCAGAGCCCTGATTCTCTTCTGTTATTCTTCCCTTTGCCTTTCCAAGCAGAGCTACTTACCCGAGAGGCAGCTGGGATTTTTGCTCTCTGACAAAGGAAACGTGTTGTTTTCTCTTTTGATTTCCCCCCACAAAATGCCCGGCAGCCTCCCTCAGTGCCACTATTCGCTGTGGTTTCCCCAAACCCTTCCCCTGGCTGCTGCCTGCTGAAAAGCAATGGAAAATTTCACAGGGAACGAGCTCAGTGACATCCCAGAAAGCAGAAATTATTTACTTGCACATTAGGGCTGCTCCAGTTTTTTAAAAAAATTCCCTTTTCCGTGTGCTTTTGTCCCGGAACGCCGCTGGGTAAGAGGAGTGGACTGAGGGGCTCTGCACCACGGTGGCCACTTTGTGTCTTTCAGACATTAAACACGAGATGATGGATAGTCCTGAACCCTGTTTAATTTAGTTTTTGCCAGCCCTAGAGCTGTTTCCCCTTTTCCTTTTATTGCTGCTGGAAAGTTTCTGTTGTTTTTGGTAATATTGCTTTTATTGGGGTTTTATAAGAGGAGAACAATGTGGAGTAATGAGGGCGTTGCCATTAAATGATGTCTCATGGCTGGGCCTGGTGTCCATGGTGGTGTGGGGCAAGGGGAGCTGCAGAAGGGTGCTGGGCCAGAGTGGGAGGCAGCCCCTTCCCACTGGGGCAGGCTGAGGGAGCCCTGCCTGCCTGTGAAGGGTGCAGCCACCCCAGTTCTGCTCCTGCCCACGGGCACTTTCTGCTCTGCAGGGCCATCTCCCTTTGCAGAAGGCTCTTCCAAAAACCCAGACAAGTTTTCCTCCTTGAAAAGTGTCTCCACAATGCCCATGTGAGGACACTGCCCCAAGGAAATCCCGTGTGGGAGCAGGGATGGGGTTACCCTGCCAGCCTGTGATGCTGAAACAAGAATCCCAAAACCCGCCATGAGCAGCAGGAGCCTCCCTGACTCCCCTCATCCCAGTTCCCCCCCCCAGGGCTGGCAGGAGGGTCGCTGGGATGAGTCCAAGGACAAAAAGCTCTCCCGTGTGCCAGGGTGATGGCATGTGTCCCCTCTGTCCTCAGGATGGTGGCTGGGAAGGCCGAGCCGGCCATGCCGGGCAGGCTGTACGTGCACCCCGACTCCCCGGCCACAGGAGCCCACTGGATGAGGCAGCTGGTGTCCTTCCAGAAGCTCAAACTCACCAACAACCACCTGGATCCCTTTGGACACGTAAGAGACACGTTCTGCAAGGGCTTCGGGTGGAGGTGGGCCCACAATGCTGGGTTTGTGTCTGGGATGTCACAGTTAATAATCGTTAATTTAATAATTATTAAATTGTACATTATTTTGTGTTTGGGGAGAGTGTTTAAAGCAAAGGGAAGGGGTCTGTATGCTTCCCCTGCTCTTGGAAACACAGCCATGACTGGCTCAGTTGTGTCCTGCTAGATGCCACTGAGGTTTTCTTTTCTGCCCAGGAACTTTCTGGGCAGCACTGTGGGATTTTCAGCCTGGCACGTGGTACATGCAGCTCACAGAAGCTGGTTGCATAAACTGCTGATTTTCCAAGCTGGCTTTGGCAGCCCTAAAAAAGATGAAGTATTTTATTTGGAAAATTTGGATTCATGTGTATTGGGAATGCAGAGGTGGGGAGCACACAGTTATCTGCCCCAGTGCATTTAATAACTCAGACCAAGGGCCCTGGCAGCCTGTCAGGAGAGTGAGTGCTCAGATACTGCATATAAAAACACAGACCTGTCTGGTCTGCACAATTTGAGCTGAAAGTCATGTGAAAATAAACCATCCTTGGTGAGAGGAAGGGAAGAGAGAGGTTAAAACCCTTCTAGGTTTAGTGCCATCAGCTCCTCCTTGTACCAAAGGTAAGAGAATCTAATTTGTGTCATCAAATGTGGGGTTTAACCTGATGGTGTTTTAAGCAGCAGCAGTTTGGAGGGCCAGGGAGGCTGTGAGAAGGGTGCAGAGTGGGAAGGGATGTATCTGTTTTGTTTAAAATGACTGTGCACCCAGCCTCTAAAGAGCAGCTTTTCACTTGGAGCCAGTGTCCTGATGCCTCCCAAAGCTGTCCAGAAAGTGTGATAAGTGTGATGCTGGCACAGCTAAATCAGCTGGAGCTTTAGAGGGTTGACTCCAGAGGCAGGAACACCCCACCAGCTTAAAACACTGCTAAAAATTCAGAAATTTTGCCCGTGTTTATAATTTTTTTGTGGATTTTGAGCCTCCAAAAGCCGGGCCCTGACAGGGACTCGGTGATAACCCAGCCCCGTGCTGGGCCCTGACCCCCTCCCCACCCTACTGACCCCACTGAGACATGTGTGAGCTTCAAAGGCTCCCCGGCACCCTTTAATGCTGCTGCTATTAATCACAGCCCATCTCTGCTCCCCTGAAGGGGGGAAGCACCACGGAAATGAAATGAAATGAAACGACTGTGTCAGGGCTGTGTCAGCACCAGTGACACCCCTGCCACCGTTTGGCTGCCACAGCCATCCCGGGCCGCTGCCTTTGCACGTGGCATTTTTTCACTCTGTGTTTTCCTCTTGGTTAACTCTGCAGTTTAATATACGACTGTTTATGCTGTAAAATGTAAACCATAAAACATGCAGGATGTGCGATGTGGCTGTAAAACAAACAGGATGTGCCGTGTTGGTTTTGCAACTTTAAACGTTTGCTTTTCCTGACTTTGTCATTTTTTAACTGAGATTTTAGCACTGCATTTTAACAGGGCAGATTTTAACCCCCCCCTCCCTTCTCCTTTCCAATGAACAGCCTGCTTGTCTTTTCCCTACTGAGACAGTGGTTTGGGTTTTGGGGTGATATCCACCATGCTGTGGCTCCAGATGAGCCCTGCTCAGTGCCCTCACAGCCCAGCACCTTCCCTCTCACATTAATGGGAAAATGCCTGAAATAATCTGTTTTAAAGTGCCTGGTTTGCTGCTCTGTTCAGGCACTGACAACCTGCCTGGCTAAATGGCACTGAACCCACCCTCAGCCAGCTCCTCGTTAGGATTCTAAATTCATAATCTGCTTTAGAGATGTGGTGCTCCACTTTTTGTGGTGGTGCACATGGAGAGCTGGGCTCTGCAGCAGGACAGGGAAAGGCTCCCACCAGCTCAGGCTCAGTTCTGCTCCTGCAGGGCCTGTCCCACGAAGGCATTACGTTAGGAATAATAACAGCTTCTCATTTCTAGGAATTTGTTCCCAGTGACTGCAAACACTTTCTTAAAGCTCCCTAAAAAAACAAGTCAGGAAAGCCACAGGGTTTGTTTGCCTTCCCGTGCGCCAGCGGAGCCTGCCTGCCTTTCCTTTTGTCTTTGATTTCCTCCAAACCTCAAAACCACGTGGAGTGAGGATTTCTGCAGCCTTGGCTGGGGCATTTTTGGGTGTGTGGGCAGCAGCCCGGGCAGAGCTGAGCTGGGTCACCCACCCTGGCAGCCTCAGCCTCTGCGGTGTCCCCATCCCTCCACGGCTCCTCTGAGCCAGGGATCTCACCTGAGAGACAGGCAGCAGAAATTTCACATGATTCCATCAGAAATGAACCCATTTATCCATCCACGGCTGACTGTGCACTGAAATAGCTGCTTAATATCAGGGATGAGCAGCCCCATGGAGATTATGAGAAGTGGAGGCACATTTGAGGCTTAAAGTAAGTAAGATAAACATCTTAATTAATAAACTGTGGAGTTGAAGCCTTGCTGCAATCCATGGAATTAGACTGGAGATTATTTACCATGCTGGGGATGTGGGAAATCCTCACTCTCTGACAGCCAGCCCCTTCTCTGCAGCCTCACAAACCTCACTCCTGCTTGCCCTGGCTGTTATCTGTTGTGGTAAATTATTAGTTACAGTCAGAGGCATGGGAGGCATTTGTCAATGCAGACATGTAAAACTGAGCAGGTTTTATATCAGAACAAATTCAGAGCTCTGTAATCTGTGGCTGAGCAGGTTTTGTGGCAGGTAAGCCTGTGCCCAGCTCACACAGCACAGCCTGAAAACTGTGGGCTGTATATTTTGCTCCGGGGGGATTTTTCATCCATGAAAGGCTTCTTTCACACCAGGCTTAACAACTGAGGAACGTTCATGTTGGAAATGGATTAAGAAATCAGCAGCCACTGTAATGTTTAGCTACAGTGAGGTCTATCTGATCCCAAAGAAAGCACTGTAAGCCACCTCTGCTTAGAGTGAAATCTGAATTTATGTATTTTCAAAGCATTACATGCAGAGATAATCAACCTGATAGAGCCTCTGATTTACGTGGGGCTGGTGAGTGATTCTGAGCACCAGGGATTCTGGCAGGGCTGGTGCTTTGCTCTCTGAACAGGGCATTTGCAGAGGTGAAAATAATCTTGTAAGTACCAGCAAAGATGGCACATCCCTTACCCATTCCCAGAGTATGCTGTCTGGGAAATACCTGGTGGAAAATGGGAGTGACTCCATCACTCCAGGTTATTTTGTGCTAATCTCAGCTGCAGAGGAGGCACAAAAATCCCCTCTCTGTTGGACAGGGGAACACAGCACCTGTATTTCTTTAGAAAGCTGATTCAGGGCAGTATGGGGAAACAGCAGTGTGTGTCTGCACATGATAAATCCCCAGGAAGGGAATTCCACTCTCTCCAGAGGTTTAAAGTCCATAAACAGTGGGGTGGAAGGGGCCCATGGGATTGTCCTGGTGTGGGTCAGCTCCTGCCCTGGCAGGTGAGGGGTGCTCAGGGGGTGTGAGGCTGCTGAGGGACCACGAGGGGATGGCTCAGAGCTGCACTGGGGCTGCAGGGAGGGCATGGGAGCCTTTTGGGCTCTGGGGCTGGGTGTGGGAGCCTTTTGGGCTCTGGGGCTGGGTGTGGGAGCCTTTTGGGCACTGGGAATGGGTATGGGAAGCCTTTTGGGCACTGGGGCTGCAGGGAGGGCGTGGGAGCCTTTTGGGCTCTGGGGCTGGGTGTGGGAGCCCTTTGGGCACTGGGGCTGGGTGTGGGGAGCCCTTTTGGGCACTGGGGCTGGGTGTGGGAGCCTTTTGGGCTCTGGGGCTGGGTGTGGGGAGCCCTTTGGGCACTGGGGCTGGGTGTGGGGAGCCCTTTTGGGCTCTGGCCAGAGGACTGACCACAGTGGTGGCTCCAGACTTGCTGGCAGCTCAGGAGCCCAGGACCCTTCTCCTGAGGACTGAGGAATGAGATCTGCAGTACCCAGAGTTAAGGATGGGAGAAAACATTCCAGCCTTACCCCAGGCCTGGTTTTGAGCACTCAGAGTCACACCAGGGCAGCGCTGGAAAATGGGAGAGGAGTGAGAGCATCCCAGGAGGGGTTTGTGCTGCTGTTGTGCTCTGTTTTCAGTGACTCCTCTGAAATGAAACCTCTCTGCCAGGGGACTCAGCTCCTGCAGCCAGGAAAGGGCAAGAGCATCACATCAGTATTCTTGAGAGGTTCTGACTGGGACCAGATCGATTGGAAATGAAAAAATGGGAATATAAAGAATATATAAATACATTCTAGAATATAGAAAGGTATTCCTGCAGAGAAACAAGCAAATAAGCAAAGGAGGCAAGTAATAAATGGAGAATAGAAGTGGAGGTTGTGACAAATAAAAGTAGATATTTAATTTAATCCTCCCCAACTCAGCATTGCTGAGCTTGGTTGTGTTACAAACTCTGCACCTACCTCACTCCTGGGCTGCTGCTGGTGCCTTTTAATTGCCATAATTACTTTGTCTGCTTTTAAAAGAAAGCTTTATTTTAGTTTCTGGGATGTAACCAACCAACTACAGGGTATTATAGATGGCCTGTCACTCATGACAGCATCTGAAGTGATATTCCTGTTTTCCTTGACCCAAATCTGCTGTTTACTGGCTTCACTCATTAATGCTGATGAGTTTGTTATTTCTCTTCAGATTTAATATTTGCACACTTGGTTTTATTTGATTATCACTGAAAGCCTTAATTTTTCCCCTAGTCCTGGGGTTTCCTTTTCATTTTTCTATTAATTAAATCAGCTTTTTTCTGCCTGTGCCCGTCAGACGCACTCAGGCACTTTTAATTAGCTCCACGTCCTGCTAATCTTGCAAAACCCTAATTTTGATTCATAATTTTTTTTTATTTGTTTGCTTTATGACTTGTGGCCAAGCAGTTTCCTCTCGGGTGCTGGTGGGAGGTTTTATGTGCTGCCTTGGAAGCAGCTTCCCCACCCCGGGCACTGGGATCTCCAGAGGGAGGGAGGGAGGGAGGGAGGGA